TGCTGCCTTGGCCCTGGGGACCGGCTGTGATATCACCATGGGGCTTACAGTTGCCCACAGCTCCCCGAGTTTTACATATCTTCAAACAGTTTGCCTTTGCCTCCTGCTAACATCATGTCAAGTACACAGAGTGTTTGCATTGTCTGCTTTTCATGCACTGCTGAAGCTCTTAATGGGCGAGTTAATCTCCCCTTTGGGGTAACAAATTATGTATTCTCTTCTCTCTGCAGCTCTTTAAAGAAATGCCAAACGCATGCTAATGTCAGTTTCTTGTTCCCTGTTTGGTAATTTTATTGAAACAACAGTTCAGATAAGCACGAGGGGCTTTTAAAAATAGTGATTTGGCTTAGCTGTAAGAGAGCAGACATTCAAACTGTCAAATGGAAACATCTTGGTAAATATCACCCACAGAATAATGCATGAGAAAAGCTCAAGCTGGCAGCATGTGATGAGCAGTGAAACCACAGCGTGTTGTTCAGGCAGCTCGTCGTCCTTCTCACTCATGTGGTCTTGAGGCATTCGGGTGCTTGAGAGAGGGTAGGAAAATTCTTATCTGTCTGAAAATCTGTGGTATTTTTTGAAAGATTCATGCCAATTTGGCAACATCCTCTCCACCCAGTGACCTATGTTTTCCACGAGTGGGCTATCAAGTAATTCATCAGTGTTGAAATAAGGAGGACGGCAGAGTATCTTTAGATACTTACAAATATTATCATTATCGAGGGGGGCGGGTTTGGTTTTTTAATGTTAGGGAAACACAATTAAGTTTGAACTTAAAAATGTTACATTGTTAACAGAATTCCTGGTAATCAAACCAAAGAAAAATGTAAATTCCAGGTTGAAATGAAATCTAGTTTTCATTCAGATATATTACTGATAATATACACAGTATTTACAACTTGGGCTGCAACATGATATTAGGATTTACGCATCCAGCGATAATTTCTTATTGATTAATTGTTTGGTCTATGGTGAAATGTATAACACAATATCTATTTTATTGCATTTGAATTGTTTTAGGCCAAACTATTACATTTGCTATATTGTAAGACCGAAAAGCGTAAGAGACAAAACCCAAGACTAAAAAAGATCCATGAATCAACTTTTGCTGCTTGCTAAGTTTGTTAATGTTAACCCTCTGTAACTTTATGAAAAAAAGCGACACAGATGAGCGCATCAACATCGATGTCATCTTCGAGATTCTTTCATTTTGACTCTTTTATATAGAATATTTTAGTGGATAATCAAATGCCTAGTATCAATGTATTCGGAAAGTTTAAAATCATTTAAATGAATACAGTATTTCTAAGGCAAGTTTATTTGTAAAAAGAGGTTCAACAACAAGGTCATTCTGAGTGCTTCACGTAACCGGCGTAATACGATGATAACGGCTATCAGTCGCGGATTAATGCAGAAGTAATTATCTTGTCTGGATCTGTTTTCATCACTAGTTTCTTTTTCTGTCTCTGTCTCTCTTTTACTTGTGTGTGTGTGTGTGTGTGTGTGTGTGTGTGTGTGTGTATGAGTAATATCATTACCTCTGCTCTGATTCCCCTGATTTGATCAACAGTAGCTCCTGGGTTTCATATTCCTGGCACTAATGCCCTTGACCATCAAAGACATCTAAAGAAAATACTCTTTGTTTGTCACACATCCTGAATGAAGTTAATTCACTTTGTCCGCTGCACTCGCATCTCACAGAGACAGAAAGAGAGTGACGTGCTCCGTGCCTGGAAGCATTCACGGTGCATGAGAGGAAATGTTTACCTTGTAAAACTCAGCATGTTGTAAAATAAAGCATTTCATGTTAAATGTTTTATAGACATTGGTGGTTTAGGGTCAAAGATGTTTGCTCGTTGGCCCTTCCATGATCAGCTCTATGTGTGTGGCTCTTATTGGGAAACTGCTTAAAACTTATATAAATGTTGTTGGACCATTATTATTTTCCTCAACTGTTCAACATCTATTAGATCTGTAATCATGAAATGTGTTTTCATAGGTGAAAATACATGCCTCTTATATTGAATAATAAGGAACAAGTTGAGAAGAAATTCACCACAAATACTATATGTATACTGGACATTACGTATACACCACTCTTTGTACTACTTAGATGGCACCACGGTTAGCTGGATAGGTTGTGGTGCGCTCTGTTTTGTCTTTGATTGAAGTTTCACTTTAGACAATCAAGAACCCTTTTTTCCTCATGAATATGTTTATTTGACCTACATGGTAACTTGGCAGCCGTGTGTGTGTGTGTGTGTGTGTGTGTGTGTGTGTGTGTGTGTGTGTGTGTGTGTGTGTGTGTGTGTGTGTGTGTGTGTGTGTGTGTGTGTGTGTGTGTGTGGTGTGTGTGTGTGTGTGTGTGTGTGTGTGTGTGTGTGTGTGTGTGTGTGTGTGTGTGTGTGTGTGTGTGTGTGTGTGTGTGTGTGTGTGTGTGTGTGTGTGTGTGTGTGTGTGTGTGTGTGTGTGTGTGTGTGTGTGTGTGTGTGTGTGTGTGTGTGTGTGCGCAGCTATAAACCAGGCGGCTGACTTTCTGGCTGCAGTTCAGCCGAGTGATACTTAATTTCATATAAATATATTTTATTTATATAAAATAAGGCAATGAAAACTTTATGACTTGTTGGCCAATGTTTTTCATATTATACTGTAAAGTGTACAATTCGTGGTGCAGTTTGTCTAAGATTAAAAATATACATGAGCTGAATGAAGCGCTGCTGATCTTTATTTTCATTTGAACGGTCTCCTTTTCACCCAGCATGGTGCACTTCCTGTTTGAGCACAGATGCCGCATTAAGACGAGTCTTATTAATTTCATGATTGAAAAGGTTTGCCTCCATCATTAGGCACATGTGTCAGGAACAGATGACAGACAAACAATATCTCCATATTTATGAGCTTGGTTGATAATATCAAAGTATTCTGGGTATAACTAGCGCTGCTTTTATAAACATTTACATAGGAGACATTTTAGAGGAAGCTCAATAGTAATACACAATACAGAATAAAATGTGTATTCATTGTTAAATATGTAGTATTTTGGAATGTTACTTTGGTGCTATGTTACTCCTTGATATTCCGATGATGGATAGTTAAATGGTTTGTGTAGTGTTGTTTTGTAATTGAGATTTGGTCGTTGTTCAATTTTTTTTGTAAATATCAGTTTGTTTATTGTTTACCACTTCTAGAAAGCACTTTGTGACTGAAGTCTGTAAAATGTACTATATCAATACATTTGACCCCCTTACTTCCTGAGATTATTTTTGAAGACCCCAAAAGTTTCATTATTAAACAATTTTGGCACATTTTATGATGCAAACCAACAAATGTAACCATACCTACAGTACAGTCTGAACATTCAATACTTCTGCATTTGCTGTCTGAACGTTTGAGGGTAGATAAAATTGCAGACAGCTTTTAGTTTGACGTTCTTTCAAACATGTTTGAGGCCTTGATCCTTTTTTTTTGCGATCAACCTTTGCATCCCATTTGCTGTGTTTACGATATTTCCGGCTTTCATGCAAGCTCTTATATTCTGATTTCGCTTATCTTTTGTTATGGTGAAGGACGCATCTTGTGCTGGAGATTTTAATGCATCTTAAGGTGTCAGAGTGGCAACGTTTAAATCAGAGTTTCATTTGAGTGTTTGGATGACTTAGTGAGTAATACGCACGCACGCACGCACGCACACACACACACACGCTGTTAATGGAGGACTGAAAGTGAAGCTGCTGTAGGAAGTGATTACACTGCTTGTTTCCTGTCCATGTTTTTAGCAGTTAGCTGTGGTAGAGCTGCAGAGGAAATGTAGTATAAGGTCAGGCTGACAAGAGTAAGCAGCACATTGCATTGTGAAGCATTTGATTAGGTGACGCTGCAGCTTTCACCTGTGAAGGGCTGCAGAAATATTTATCCACATTTGTGAAATAGTATGTAAGAACATGTTTGATACACAAAACATGCAGATTATGTTTAAAAGTAAGTGGCAATCGTATAAAGAGAATGTTGGAGGGTTTTCTGGCTGTGGTAATAAAGTATCCGAACATTGTTATGGCTGCAGAGTTTCTACCTGTTCTGTGTTTTTATTAAGTCTCTATTTAATCTATTTAACTTTACAAGTGTTAATCGTTCTGCTTTTAAAAGTCAGTTTTCCCCCTCTAGAAGACCAGTTTTCAACATATCCATACATACGGTCTGCTGCTTATTTGATAGATCTCTAAAAACAACGCTAAGGATCTCAAGCTGGCGTAGCTTTCAACTGTCAGAGAGAAAAACGAGATTCTTTTGTTCAAGTTAAACAGGCAGTCGGGCTACATTAAGGTAATGATGGCATGACAAATCCCCGCCTCAGCTCACTGCCCCAGAACTTTTTTCTTTTCTCTTCATCAGTTTCTCATCATTTTGCTGTAGCTTTCAGGAAGCGGTTAACCTTGATATAGAGGATGCTAGAGAGATCTATAACGGCTCACAACTCAAATGGAAAATTGAAGCTCATGCTCATTCATGTAGATACAAATTGAGAAATCGGTCTCCTTTTCGCCAAGACCTACATTTCTCTCTTTTCCTGAACCCTTAAAGGGATCATTTTGATGGAGTTTGTGATGCAAATGGTTGGGAGAAAATAGAGTGATTAGGAGGACATTTCTTAATTTTGGTTTTCACCTTGATGGAAACCAGTGTTTCTTCTGACACATAATAGAAACTCTTAAAATAGAAAACAGTCAGTCTTCATTAAAGGAGGAAGTCAGCCCTTGGCTTTGTTGTACTTTGAACTTAGGTGTCTCTAACTAGGACACCAAAGTGCATCTCTGCACTTTGTTTTGGTGCATCAGACCCATGCTAAATGTCACTGTCTCCCCTGTGTATCTTTCGAAAGATTTACTCCAAGTGTTAAGCTGCATCAAACTACTTCCACATTTTATTTGCTGATTTATTTATACGTTTAAAGTAATAAAAGTTTATGGCTGATATTTACGAACCCTCTCTCTCCCCTTACTCAGGACGTTTACTGCTGCTGAAAGGATGATGATGACGATGATGGGAGGAGGCCAGGGCCGAAGGTGCATCCCTCGCTAGAATCATACTTACTCCCCAGAACTTCACCCCTCCACCATCCATCCACTACTGTCGTCCCCTCGCCCGACGCCATGGCCAACCACCTGGAGCTGATCCAGGAGCTGCAGCAGCTGGACAAGGTGCCCAGCCTGGAGAGGCTGCGGGCGGCCCAGAAGAGGCGCACTCAGCAGCTGAAGAGATGGGCTGTGTACGAGAAGGAGATGCAGAACAAGAAGCGAAAGGCGGACAAGAAGGGGCGCAACGCCAAAGACCTCCATCTAGAGTCCAAGAGGCATGTGTCCTTTGCAGCCAGCGTGGCACTGCTGGAGGCCTCGGCCAGGAATGATCCAGATGAAGGTAGGGCCAGTAAAGAATATTTACGAGATGTACAAATTAGAAAATGGAAGTAAAGATTTACGGGGAAATGTGCTCTGTGTAGTGAACACGATAAATTACACAAGTGCTCTTTACACATGTGACCAATGTACTCACATAATCTAACGACTGAAGATTTACACTCACTGTAACACGGTAACACTGAAAATATGTGCTGGGGTTTCGTCCATAAGTGTAGAGTCAAATGCAGCACAAAGCTCGGTGATGCCACATTTGAATAATTACTCTAATTTCAGCCACACCTCACTGCTTCAGCGTGATATCAAAATGCCAAGGTCAGAAAAAAACGATTTGCTGGGCCTGTCCACTGAAACTGCCAGTGGGACTCGCTGCGTTCAAGCTGGATTTGTTCTGCTAGGAGAATGTTTTATCATTGTGAAATAATGGAGTTGTCACACTGAGATGAAAGTCTGCCAGTCTTTTAATTAAAATGTCTACGGATGGCCCCCCCCTATTTGGAGATAATAATTGTTTTCTTCAGTACAAACAGCCCCACAATGCTGTGGCAGTGCTAACAGCATGTCAGTGATGCAGGAATGATAACAGGCTGCTTATCATAGAGATATGACATCTAATTTAACTTTACTTTAACTTTAAATTAGATTGAACTCTTTTTTATTTTTTATCATAATGAATACAGCCCTAGCTGTGCTACTCTACAATCTTTGCCTATGCAAGCTGTCGGTACAGATATGGAAACAGCCACGAGGCCAAAATAATTCTCACATAGCAGATGCGGCCCTGTGCTACGTACACACAGACACGTGCACACACATGCACATATGCATCAGCTCCAGCTGGAATTTTCTTAATGTTAGATTTTATCATCTGTAACCTAAATAAAGGTCTGATGAAAGCAGCATGCGATACAAGGATATCACCTAATTGGGTTAAAGGAAAAGCTCTTTCATTACTATAAAAAAAGGCATGTCGGTCATGTTGCTGTTGCTGCTGGTTCTGCTGCTGCCTCATTAGACACAGATAGGTGTTGTCGTGTGAGAGATTGTAGAGATGGTTTGAATAGCATTACAAGGTTTGTGTGTTACCCTGCTGTGCAGTGTGTAGTCAAAAGTCTGCTGAGCCAATTAGACTTCAAACCAGGATGCTGTGGCTGTTGGAGTCATGTAAGTCATTAGTTTGAAAACTAGGAACATGCTACATCTACTCTTTTACTGGCAGCTTCTCTATTTAGACGTTCAAAAGTGATTTGAGAAATATTCCATGTATTCAAGTCCAGATTTATATGTAATGAATCATGGGGAAAATGAAATGTCAAAGGCCAGCTTTTGTGTGCTAGTGTTAAGGACGGATGAAACGCAGGGAAAAAAAGGCTTCAATTTATTTCATATGAAAGATATCTGAACTCTTTCAGTAAATCCCTTGTTCAATTTTATGAAGGCCGTCCAGCCTTTGGGTGTTCATATTTGGTGACTTCTATACAATAATACAATATATTCTATACAATAATACAATAATTTTCATGATTTAACAAAAAGCTTGGCTGGTATTTGTCCAGTCTGTAGCCTTGGCCAAACAACATCTGAGATTACATTAAATATGACGGGCAGGGTTTTGCTTTTTGATACAGTAGGCTGAATACAGATATAATGCTAGACAGTTGCTGTAGATATGTATTTATTATACATTTTTCAGAAAATGTGCTTTACAGAGTTGTACATGGAGCTACAAAATTAATTGGCTATGTACTCCACTGTAAACTCCACTATTCTGGAATAACCCACATCCCATTCAGTGGAAAGTACTCTTCACACCTTGCAGACCTATATTCAGTCTTCTACCTCTGAGGAGAAGACACTTCGCTTCCACAACACTCATCCTGAAGCAATCGGCATCCTACATGCGTCACTGGCTGCATAAACAAGCACCTACAGTACCCTTCAACTCGCCACATTAAGGAGAAGAGCCATATGGTTACTATCGTATTTATTGTTGTTACTATTTTGCATTTGTGGCAATGTGCTTTTGTGTACTCTTCTTGTTGTGTGTTCTCGGCCAATATATGTTTTGTTGTTGTTGAGCACACCTAAAAAATTACAAATGAACTGAATATATACTGAGCAACTGAGTATTTCACATGAAGTTAGGGATTGCATTGTCAGTCTTTACATGTGCAATTTTTGTCTATAGCTGCAAAAATCTCAAAAAATATTGGATGGATTTCCAACTAGGGATGTCCCGATCACCTTTTTTTGCTCCCGATCCGATCTTTATGCAATGCATTAAGAGAAAAAAAAGGTAACAGATAACGGCTGGTCATCCAACGCGATGAATTCAGCTATCTTGGCTGTTATTTTTTTGGCCTTTTCACTGTTCTGGGGCAGTTTCTCTTTCCTTTTAAAAGTCTCTGAAAGTGTCGGTTGTTTCAGTGCCGTTACCCGAGTGGCCGCTGTGTACTCGTCGTGTTGTTGTTGGTGTTTGTATTAGATTGGTCGTGTTGAACGTAGCTCTGTTCTTTCCACCACGCAGAACCTCCGCCTTGCAAACATTGCATCTGGCTGTTACACTGCCTTCGCTTTCAATTTTATAATACTTCCAAACTCCTGACATTTTCTCTGTCCCGACTCCCGAGGCACCAGCTGAACGTAGCCTCTTGTTAGCTTACTGCTACTATTAGACACTGCGCCCACTCTGTTGCCAGATTTGAGAGAAATAAGCAACCAGGTCTATGAAAACAAGCCCAAAAGAAGCAACACATACATGATGTTGTGTAATTTTAAACCAAAACTAAGGCCTCAGGATGACTTCAAGACGTGAACATGGTCATTTTTGTTTTGTAACATTAAATAAAATTATAAAAATATTTTATAAAAAAAAAAAAAAAAATCCCGATCCCCAATCTTTTTCTTCCGATTCCGATCTTTTGAATATCACGTGATCGGCTCCGATCCCCGATCACGTGATCGGATCGGGACATCTCTATTTCCAACAAATGTTGAGGATGAATCCGATTGACTTTGGTCTCTCTTATCTAGCACCATGGTATTGGTATTTGAAGTTTTGACTGAAATATCTTAACAACTACAGGATGGATCATCATGAACTTTGATCCACCATTTTGTTCCATCATGAATCTCAATAACGTTAGTAACCCTGAGTTTTATTCTAGTGCTACCATCAAATTAAATTCCTTTGGTATTACAGTTTTTGACTCCATACTCACAAACTGACCATTCATCTCAGCTGCACTTTGTTTCTAGTGCTTATAAGAAAATGTTAGGATGCTAAACCTGCTACAAATCCACATTTTAACATTGTCTGCGAGAACATACAGATCCTAGCATGAAATGAGATGATATTTACAGATGCCATCAATTATTATGTAGTTCTGACCAATGTAAATAATTAACAGACTTTTCCCACCTTTGAATAGATACAGCAGTGTCTCTTTGCTTTGGTTTGAGCATCACTGCTAACTGCAGAGGCTTTGTCAGTTCTCCTCACGGTGACAGTGCCAAGGCATCGAAACATTTGCCATCGGTGTCGCTTAATAAGGGTGACCATGAAAGGCAGAGAGATAAAACGCAAAGGGAGACAGGTTGTAATGTTGCCCACACAGCTCTGTGGCAGCTGGCTGGCTGATAATCTCCTCTCTCTCATTCCCTCCGGTCCCCAAATGCTCGATCAAGCATCGTGACTCCACACGCTATGCAGCTCAATGCTCACAGGCTCAGGGCTTCCTCCACTGAAATACTATGTGACAGTGCCATTCATTCTCCAATTGTACAGTCATTTCAAAGGAGATTATGTTAAAAATAGAAAAGAGAAATGTAATGTATATCAAGAGGAAAATGAGTTTTAGCATCTTTGAAAATCCTGACAATTTTGCATAACGTTATTTTTGCATGAATCATGACAACTATTCAGATCCCTAATCTTCAAAAACAATATCCACCAAAGCCAAAATGAACAGTGGAATGTTACAAATGTGTTTAGAAATGAAAGGAGCCATTTATAATGTATTTTTCCAATGGAGAAAGGAAGGAAGGGAGCAGTAAAAACAACAGAGAGGCTGAGATTGAGTTTAACCTGAGGCTGACTCCACCGGCCTGCAGGCCTAATGAGAGGAGAGGTTGGTTGGTAGGAGCGACTCCTGCTTAGTCCCTGATTGGTTGGCTGCAGTGAGATGTTTCCTGTGATTCATCCACTGCTCTCTCTTCTGTGTGGTTGCAGTCAGAGCATCACTGTGTAGACCTGAGGGTATGTGTGCGAGTGCACGCTGACAATTGTGTTTACATTGGTATGCATGTTTAATGCATCGAGTATTCGCTGTTTTTCGTCATTTGTAAGCTTCACTCTTGCACAGTAGATGTGTTATTACCTCCATTGAGAAGGTTATGTTTTGGTTTATTTCATTTTACTTTGTGTTAGGGAGTAGCATGGAACAAGGAAGAACCCATTCCATTTTGGAGCCCAGACAAAGCATGGAGCAGAGACAGAAATAGTTGTTACTATTGTTAAACTTGCGAGATAGTGCATTTAGCCTTAGCTGACTTCTGCACTCTCACAATGCCCTACTAGTTGTAACTATTTATACTTTTGTTTGAGTGTGTTCTGCTTCCTCTGAAAGACAACGTCCCTGTCATTATGACTTCCTCACTGGCGGCTTCGGGAGCACACTCACCAGGCCGTGAGGAGATGCAGATAGTGGAGGACACCGTGTGCACTCGAGCTGAAGATGTGTTGAGGCCAGAAGATGGAGAAAATAAAAAGTGGGAATATTTGAAGTCGCATGAAAGTAGGGTTTGAATGTGGGCTGGTTTATTTGCTAGACTGACTTATTTGACACACAGAAGAGGCTTTGATTTGAGGAGAAAGAAAAGAGGGACAGTTGGAGAGGATGGGATGCAAAGGGATTCATCCTGAGTCCCAGACCATTGCTTTGCCCTCCGGCTGCCACCACCCTGAACCCTCTGCCCCCCCGCTGTGATAAGGGGTGATGG